GACACTGTTTTCTTACTCTCTATCCACACCTCTAACTATTTTAGGAATTTTTTCACTTTTCATCCATATCCATGCCTATTAATCATGTACTATCCAAAGTCAAAAGCCTTGTGTTATCTCTGAAATAAATTATAAAATTACTCCCAAAGTAACTAATTTGGTTTTGGTTCTCCAAATCAACAGTCAGAAATAAATAATAAACATCAACCATCAGATCTCTTTCCTATGGCCCCCACAAAACAAACCAAACGAGAGAGAGAGAGTGAGTAAAGGTTAATTTGGTTCTCTCTTAGTTTCGTTCACCCTTTCCCAAACCAAGGTCAGTTTGGCTATTTAGACAAGAGAGAGTGAGAAAAGTGTCCTTCATGTCACTTGTGTCTCCAAGTGTAATAAAACTCAAGAATGTGTCCTAGAGTGAAACTCACCCTTTTAAAAATGGTTGTGAGGTGGAATGTGGTGTTAACACCTAGGACATAAAAAAGTTGTTAATCATACATGGAATAAAAGTTTATTTATAAAACTTCTCCTCAAATAATAAAAACGGGATTTGTTTTTCTTAAGACAAATGGGACAAATCAGACAACATAAGCAAGTTCTTTACACAATTCTAAGTTTAAAGACTTAGAATATTATCCTTCCCCTTTTTAAAGTACTCATTTCCCGACATTAATAGCTCATAAATGGCTTTTTGAGTGCTGGTCGCGTCTTAGACATCTTGCATCCTTAATCACAAGAATACATTGAGGTACTTTTGAGGATGTTCTTCCCACAATGAAGTTCCATAATCTTTGATTAGTTTTTGCCATGTACTTTTCATTCCTACTCGAAGATTGTTTTGGTTTTCTTTTAGATTTGTCATCGTCCCACCCCGAGTCCAATTGTTGGGATTTTTAAGTCTATGTCTAACTCTGTATTGTCTGATTAAAATGATATTGTCTAATTTGGGCCTGAGACAAAAAAAAATCGCATGATTTTACATTTGGTTTATTTTCCAAAAAAACTTTGTACAAATCAAAGTTAGACATCTTATTATATTTTGGACACTTTTTGTGTAAAATTTTCATGTGGAACTTGGATTGACATCTCTCACTTTTCACGATCTCCTCCCTCACACCTTCACACCTTCACAATCAAATAAACAACTTAAGCAATATAAAGTAAAAGTCTTTTTTCTTAAAAGCAAATCAATAGAAAGAGACTAATGTTTTAAGTAACCAATAACCAACTAGCTCTTCATCTTCATCACTGTCATACCAGAACCCAAAACAAAAAGAGGTTATTTCAACTGAAGAGGGAAGACTTAAGAGACCTTGATATAATTTTCAAGTGAACAACAATCACGACATAATATAACGTAAACTGTATGATAATATTTAGAGGTTAACCATGGTCTGGTGGTTATAGTGCCCGGTAAGTGGGTGTCATAGTAAGGGTTTGAGCCTAGTGTGTGATCAGTTATTTATTCTGTTATAATAAAGTGACGCTGTTTTGGTTAGTAACAAACATCGTTGCCATGCCACAGGTCCAGTCAGCTAAGTTAATGGTTGACTAATTTAAAGTTAATGGCTGACTAATTTATGTTATTGTTCATTTTGATTTATACATATGTTTTATAAAGTTTGAGTCTAGTGTGTGGCCATTTTTTTTTATAGTAACAAAACGACATCGTTTTGGTTATTAAAGAATATCGTTTCTACGTCACGTGTCCAGTCAGCTAAATTAACGGTTGACTAATTTTTGTTACGGTCACTATTGATTTAGATATGTTTTATAAAGTTCAGGTTCATATTTAGCACATATCACTTAATTATTTAGGTTTTATAAGACACAATAAAAATGGCGAGATACCCCAAAATGAGATTCTCCCGATGTGCATGCTTTTAGATATCTCAAAACTTTAGAACTTCATGTCATTTTTCCCTCATCTGAGATACTTTTGTGTTAATGTTTTTTATAGTTTGGAGATACCCGACAGTACTTGTTCTATCTAATTGATCATAAGTTCATAACATATATCCGACTATATATAGTGTCTTATAGAGACATTTCTCACTAAATATGAAATAATATAGTTGGGATATACATACCAATTAATATATGAAATAATTTAAACAAGAGATTTATGCCAACACAGAACCAAAATTTAGTTTCCTTATCCTTTTAGTATAATACCAAACATTACTTTGTCCCTATAGTATAAAAATTTTCATAATCCCAAAATTAACCTTTCATTAATCAAAATAATACAATTTAAAAATTAAAACTGTGTTGGTCTAAAAAGACATAAATATCAAAAGAAATTAAAAAGATTCATCAATATAAAAAATAAAAATAGAACGAAAATTTCATAATCCCATAATTAACCTTCTCGGTTCTCTCTTTCAATCAACAAAGACGAAGGCGACTCAAGGTCTTCTCTCCATCTATCAATTGGTTGGATGAAGAAGAAAAATTTAAATCTAAATATTTTGACAAGGAAATCTTCCTCTACACGTTTAACGAAAGTTAGAAGATTAAAAAAATTTTGGAGAATCTCCAAAATTGTTGGAAATCAAAGAGGACTGGTTTGAAACTCGTTCGGTAAGATTCTCCTGCATTTACCCAAGGCACTTCTTCTTTAAGTCGAGACTTCCTCCTAATGAGGTGTTGCCTATCCAGGTGTGGATGAAACTTTTAGGGAAGGGTAAGAAGATGCTATTAAGTCACTTCATCCCTAGATCCCTTTGACTGTTTGAAATGGAAGGAGAAGTCACACATCCGTTGTAGCTGGCAGTGCTCATTCTTTCATTCGCCTCTGAAAGCATCCTTCCTTCTTAATGCCCGGGCATCCATCCAATGCATTCTTTTCGATCTTGTACTCAGGGTACACTGAACAAGGAAGACAGAAGAGCTCTGGTAGGACGAACTGGTAAGGAATTCAATTACTTATTACTTATGAGTGGTGGAAAGTTTTTTATCAATTCATTCCACACCTTTTCTGCTCTTCAAACCCGCTCCAATTCTTATCCGTAAAATATACCTTCTACACTGCATAAAAACCAGACAACAATTCCATAAGAAATTTCTACTAAATATAGCCATTCCGAAAAGAATATAGTGACCTTTACAATGCGTAGACTTTGTACTCTTCTTATTTATAATTTTATTTAAAAGTAGAATAGCTGTTCTAAAGAAAGTAGATTAATTTGTTTAATATGAAATTCAATTTCTACGATGCCATTTTCCATAGAAAATGAAACCAACTATCCGTAGAACATAATTTAAAATTTGAATTTAACAAAATTTTCAGCCCAAAATAATACCAGTTCCTGTATATAGGTATTTCATCAATTGTTTCTCTGTTTACACTTTTTTCTTCATAAAACTATTTGTTTCATTTAGTTTGTAAATAAAAAGGGTAAGAAAAAGAAAAATAGGAAAAAAATATTTATACCAAATGGACAAATAGACTGGTTTTTTCGTTTTGGCATAAATCCCTTTTAACAAACTGAAGTTCAAAACAAATAAGGGGGATGATGGATGACTTCGCCTTGAGACCCAGTGGCGAAAGTAGAATGATTTTATAATAGGGGCAGAAACAATTTAATCTCCAAAATTAGTGGGGGCATTGTGTATAAATACCAAATTACTAGATAATTCTTCTGTTTTATTATAAGTGTCACTTTATTTTTGTACACACGGATTAAAGAAACAGTTAATTTTATATTTTTTCTATATAAAACACAATTACCTATACACCTAACCATATTTCAATCAATAGAAAAATATATTTCATAATAAAGTTAATAAATTTTGTATTGAAAACTAAAAATGCCACTTATTTTGTAACAAAAAAATTATCTATTATGACACATAATAGAAATGGAGAGAGTATTAACTAAACATTTAGCAAAATAATTTAAAATCTGTTGACAAAAATAATAATTAAAATCTACAAATGACCTGGGGGCATGACCCCACATATTTAAATTTACTGCTTTTGCTTTTTAATAATGATCGAACTTATTATATAAGAGACATAGAATATTACTATTGTGTTGAAAATAACTTTTTTTTAGCAATTGTACTCTCATTTAGTTACATAAATTGTCCAAAACCTTTCTTTCTTGGATATTAAATCTAAGGCCGGCTCTATGATTGGTATACAAAAATAAAAAAATAAACCTCATCAATAAAAGAATATTTTACAAAAAAAGATTTGCGGTCCATCACCTTTAAACCAATTAAAACTAAAGAATTAATCAAATAACTAAGGTGGTGTTCAAAAAAAAAAAAAATCAAATAACTAAGGTATGAATGATAATTAAGGAATGATGAGGAATAATACATTTTTTAATGTTTTTAAATATTTGTTCTATAAGAAATAGTTTTTCTTTTTATTCTTTACCATTCTTTTTACTGCAGATGAATATAGACCAATATCGTGTTTAGTAAATATGATAAATAATAATCATTCTTAGTCATTTTAAGAATTTTATTTCTATATTTTTTTTATTTGTTTATAATATTTCTGTGATTGTGATTGTTACCAGTTAAACCCTAAAAGTATAACTTCAAATGGGTTTCGATTCGCTAGCAGTTCGCCTTAATTGAAAACAGAAAGATAAAGAATCCGGAACTAATCGAACTATATATGTATATATACTGTATCATGTGGGCACCCACACAAAAGATTGGTTTACCTCACATGTGTTGATGTTGATGTGAATAGAAGTATCGTCCACATATGTTTACTATATATAATAATCACTGAATTTCTAATAAAGACGAAAGATTCTACTGTACTATTGTTTTATGCTCTAGAGATTTCGTGATGAAGAAAAATGTTACCCTAAAGTCATTATCAAATTCGACCGTCCATTTGAAGACGTACACGTCTTTAGGGTCAAACATCATTCACCTAACTTCCTAGAAAACTACGTAACATTGCATGTGCCTAATTTCTATTGTACAAGCCCAGTCAATTTATATATAGATGATGGATGAATGAAGATGACTTTGTGAAATTTCCAGGCTCTTATCATATCAATTCTCTTAAATTTGCTCACTTCTTCCCCTCTCTACAAAATATCTTTCAAATCGTACCATTTACGGAGAAACGGTGCACGCAGAGACAATGGGCAATACAAATTCGTTGTGTGGGCGTAAAGGGTAACAATTAGTATCACTATCTATTTTAATATTTTTTATAAATACCAAGTAAATAGACATGTAACGTGCATTATTGTGTACTTATGTATAGATTTTACAACAAGGAAACTTTGATAAGTTCTGTTGGCAACAACTCATCTCACGATGGTATTAGAACCATACAAGCTGTTAAGAGTTGTAGCTTTTCTAGAAAATCAGATCTTTGTATCCGTATCATCACATGGAACATGAATGGAAAGGTACGTTCGTAGGTATGGGCCTATTCACTAGTTATTACATATTAGCAAATATTCCTTAATATCATCTTACAGTTGTTCCTAACAAATGTGAAGGTTTCGTATGAAGATTTGGTTCAGCTTGTTGGCAAAGACAGAGATTTTGATTTGCTTGTCGTTGGCGTGCAAGAGGCCCCCAAAACCAATGTAGCTCAACTTTTGCAGACAGCTTCATCTCCAACTCATGTGTAAGTAATCTACTGTTTCTTTCTGTTTATCTCGATTGTTGATTTACAAAATATGTTCTACTGTGATTTTAATACTGCGAAGTTTCATTTACGAAATGAAATGCAGGCTTCTTGGAAAAGCGAAATTGCAATCGATCCAGCTATTTTTGTTTGGACCAAAGAATTCACAACCACTAGTAAAAGGTATTTATTCATCTATTTTTCATCAGATGAATATAGGAGTATTCTCTAACAATCGGTTCCCAAGGGGGCCAAAAATCAGTCAGATACAAAAAGCTGTCAATGGAAGGTTAACATTTTTAACCTAGGTATTAAATTGATGGGTCTATGCAGTTTATTGGGACACAATGAAAAATCTTAAATGCTAATCATCATATGTTAAAGTTTCGTATTAATTAAATACTAAAAATGACACTAACACTGAAATAAATCTCTAGATTAACTGACTAGGTGTTGAAGTTTCCTAAACACCTAGTCATACAATTTTTTGAGACGTATATAAAATCTTCCAATAAACCAAAACAATAAGTTAATTGGTCTCTGGTTAATTTTTATTATTTTTTTGTAAGTTTGGTGCCTGTTAATTGCAGAATTAAACGCGGAGAGTCAATCGGTTGGAGGATGTGGGGGTTTAATTGGAAGAAAGAAAGGAGCTGTGGCTATTCGTATTAACTACGATGATATCAAAATCGTTTTCATCTCTTGTCATCTCTCTGGTACCTACTTTGATTTTGTTTTCTTATCGCTAATTCACAATTAAATTATAATTACAAATGCTAATATTACAATGTATGCAGCTCACGCAAATAAAGTAGATCAGAGAAATGAAGAGTTGAGGCGCATATCAAATTCACTATTATCAAAAGACAAAAGGACACATGACCTCATTGTTTGGCTTGGAGATCTTAATTACAGGATCCAAGATGTCTCTAACCGTCCTGCTCGATCTCTTATCCATAACCATCTTCAATCTGTAAGTCCCCTTTTCAATTCCATAAAATGCAAACTATATCTTGATACTTACGGGTGCATACTCGGGATTTTGTTTGGTTATAAATCAAGGCTAGTAAGGATATAAAAAATAAAAGATAATTTGATTTAGTTTTTTTTTTTTTATCAAAAGATAATTTGATTAGTTCTATATATTTCTTAGTTCTATATTTGGTACAAAAATATTATTACAGTTTGGCTTTAAATAAGAGTACGTTCTATTTTGAAAAACTTAGGTACATGATCCAATTTGTTACTCACTCCCAATCCTTATTTGGCGTTATGACTTTATGCAGGTTCTTGTGAGTAAAGATCAGCTATTGCAAGAAGCTGAGAGAGGTGAAATATTCAAGGGATATTATGAAGGAACTCTAGGGTTTAAACCGACTTACAAATACAATGTGGGAAGCAGTAACTACGATACAAGCCACAAGGTCAGGGTTCCAGCTTGGACAGACAGGATCTTGTACAAGATTCAAGATACCAAAAATATTCAAACAACTCTTTACTCTTATGATTCCATAGACCAAGTGAATGGTTCCGATCATAAGCCTGTGAAAGCTGATCTTTGCTTGAAGTGGATCAACAGTTAAATGAATGGTTTTTGTCAGGGGTCAAAATAATGTATTGTTGCTATGTTGAATGTAAATAGTAAGCAACATTTTGCGTTTTTTAAAGCTATTATTATATCTGTATTTTTCAATGTAAGGTTTGCAACTCTTTCTTGTATGTGTTTCAATGATCATTCTCTACGTTATCCTTTGATCTGATCCGGCTCCACGCTCTTCGTGATTTGCAAGGCCGGTAATTCCTGGCCTTCACAGTGAGGATCTTGCATGACTAGCCATTCTAACCTATTCACACCACATTTATAGAAAATATCATCGAGAACGCTGTTACCACCATGAAGTTAAAACCGGACATCACTTTGAAACTATCCATTGGTGTTCGCCTCCTTTAGCCATATATCACCCTTTTCAACGTTCTTGGCTTTTGTTTTCTAGGCCACGAAGTTATGTGTTGTCTATTAGAGACAAAGTCTCCTACATCGGTAGTTGAAAATGATCGTAAGTAGTATATAAGATACATGGACCAATCTCCAATTGGTTTTAGATTCGAAGTTCATCTAATTTAACATGATATCAGAACCCGATCCACGCAGACCAACTTGGTGCTTACCGATCCAGCCCAAAGTTGGTTTATCAATCTCCATCTAGCTTAATATGGTATCAGAGTCTCCGATCCATGAAGTTCAGTCCGATCCATATCAATCTGGCCCAAAGTTGGCTTCATCATCGATCCTTGTCCGAAATTTCCGAGATCTATCGCTCAAAGAGCCATCATCTATAATATATAGGATAGATGGTTCAATCACTTATAACCATTTGGTTTATGTTGAAAGAGCCTCTAGATCAACATGGTATCATAGCCTGATCCAAATAATCTAACCCGATCCATTACCAATCCGACCCAAAATTGGCACATCGATTATTGTCCAAACATTCCAAGAATGAGGCACAAAGAGCCTTCATCTCGAGAGATCGTATTAGAGACTAAGACTTCCACATCGGTAGTTGGAGGAGATCCTAAGTAGTATATAAAATACATGGATTAGTCCACTTATAACCAACTGGTATTAGGTTAAAAGCTGATCTAGCTTAACATTGTTCGCATACCCTACTAGTGGGTTCTTTTTTTTCATACCCATTTGACTAAGTGAAATATATTTTAAAAACTGAAAATAAGTGTCAGTAAAGAAGCTTCCACTTGAATGCCACATTTTAAACCCATTCTCTGGTTCCTCGGGAGATGAACAAGCGTCAAACCCGTTCTTAAAACCATCCTCCATGATCCATCTCCCAGCCTATCAGCACAATTGCAAAACACTTAGAGAGAAAACATATAGCATTTTCTGCAAATTAGAACAAGAGAAACACGATGATATTATTGTACCTTTCAGTTGGGTCCAATGTGACATATTTGGCCTTCAAGTATAAAAATGTTTCTTTAGTCTTTAGTCTATATCCACATTGAAACTCAAGCTTGCCACTGAAACCCTTTAGTCCAGAGAGAACTAAGCACGTGCCTCTAGGCAAACCTACGATGATTGGGCTCTCATGCGGAAGGAAGGGCCTTCTTGTCCACCTCAAGAACCTCACTAGAAACACCTCTCTCCCTGCTACGAGCTTGGATGGTGTTCCTTGGATCACTTGAACGGGATGGATGATGGAGTGACCTGAGTTTACTAGCACTCTTTGTGGTAGATAACATTTACTGTTACATATAGAGCCCCCAGCAGAACACATCACCATTTGTCATGTACAATCCTGCCATATCCGACATATAAGTTTGAGTTGATTTTAACAAGATAGATCCAGTTGTCTTCCTAGGAATAAACCGAAAAAGACTACAACTAAAGAGAAATACATAGATTGATACCCTAAAAGATACCAAGCTCATTTTACTATAACTGGAAGTTATGATGTTGATTTTTATTTTACTTTTTTGAAGGAATGTAAAGTTTATTTCAGTCAAAAAAAACATTGTTACAATAAATGGGACTTTGTTATCAAAATCTAATAGAAATCAGCAGTGTTTATCCTATGCCCCTTGCAACAAACCAGGTCGACATGTATCCTTGCTCCTTAAATTCTTGTCAATGTACTGAACCATTTGCGAGGCAGTATTCTGTTGCTCCCGCATGCTTTCTACCATATTTTCCCCTCCACACCATAGGTCGATAGTTAGAAAGTATAGTGAAGAAAGAACAGAGTGGATATCCAATATAGAACTCCATGAAGCCGTGCCCTCCATACTTCTTCAGCATACTTGCATAAAAAAAAGGATGGTTCCGTGTTTCCCTTGGATCTTTGATGTTGATTATTTCCTCCATAAGCAGCAATAGATTTAACCTGATTGTTTAAATTCAATCCATAACATTAACTAAATGAAATAATCTTTTCAATAAAAGAAACAAAAAAAGGAAACAAAATAACCAAATAGTGCAACCCACTTCATCCGTATGTTTAAAAAGTTCCATAGTAAAAAGAACACCACGAAAAACAATCAATTCAACAAACGAAATCCATATCTCTCTTAAAATATTGCTACAGTTTTCATCAAAACTCATTGTCCCACTACAAGATAACCATAAATTCTAAGGATAGAAAAAATGTGAGCCATTTTTTTGTTTCCTTTCCCCTCTGGTGATCAGCTATAGTTGAGTGAGTTTTGCCTGTCTGTATGTATCAGGTCAATTTGCTCGGCTAACTTGTTGCTGAGGACCACCATACACTGGATACCCTCCATAAGGTGCAACTGCATACATTCTCGGGTCATGAGGTTTCCCTACAATGTATCCATACCCAATGTTGTCCTCCATAATACGCCCCAGACCATTGGTTTCCATAGTTATATCTAGGCTGAAACACAATAAAAAACCATTTAAACCAAAGATGATTTATCGCTTTTTGAAACCTTAGTGCCAGAAAACACTTTTAGTTATAATAAAAGTAAGTTTTTATATCATTTTTAATTAATAGATATAGAGACCGAGATTTTAAAACAAAAAAAAATAAACCAAATACACAACTTTATCTATATTATTAAAACTGAAATACATTTTGATACTGTTTGAAAACAAGGATAGAAAAATAAATGAGTATTGTTTGGAAACATGGATAGCAGATTAAGTACTTCATTTTATTTTTGATCATTAGTCATTACATTTACAATAAATGAAATATTTTTCTTTTTTATTTCTTTTTATTTACATATTTTCCCATTGCATTTAAATTCAATTTAAATTAACTAATAACAATGGGTTTTCTTTCTTTGTGGTGAAAATAAAACATAGTCTGAAATATATAGTATATATTATATAAATTAATTTTTAAATATAGTACTATCTTATTGTATTTAGTCAAATATAAAATTTCGAGAGTTTAATTTTTTTTTAAAAAAAATTAAATATCATAAAATTAATGATAATTCAAAGAAAACTAATGAAAAAAATTATTTTTAGTATGTTGTTTCATTTTAGAATAATTTAACAAAAATAACATATTAAAATATGAATAGTAAAATTACATCAAGTTATAAATTTATAAATAAAAAATTATTGTTAAACATTTAAGTTATAAAATAATATATTTAACTCTATATGTAAATTATAAAACATAAAAATATTTTTTTTGTAAGAGGTTTATGAATTTATGTTGACTATATAAGTTAAATTAAATACACGTATGGGGAAACGGGTCAAGTTCTAGTAATGTATTATCAATGCAACTTGGATGATTATACCGGAAAACATAGTTTATGTCAAATTGGGATAAGGAAAGTCTTTCTAATAGTACAGAGAATATTTTGGATTTACCAGCTTATTTTGTGCCCAAGAAAGCTGAACTGTACGGTTTTCAATCTATGTTAGATATTTTTTAGTTTCTTCAAAGCCTCATCTGCATTTTGTCTGCAAGCAAATTATGAAATATGACTACAGGGAGAAGGTGAAAAAGAAACATCTA